TATCTACCTATCTATCTATCTATCTATCTATCTATCTATCTATCTATCTATCTATCTATCTATCTATCTATCTATCTATCTATCTATCTATCTATCTATCTATCTATCTATCTATCTATCTATCTATCCATCCATCCATCCATCCATCTACTTAAATGTAATATTGATTAAATATTTTTCAAAAGAAAGCCTAATTTCTAATGCATTTTATTATTTAACCCTCTGGGGACCAGAGTGTTTTTGGGGCCCTTTGGATGTTTTGACTTGCTCTGACATTTGTGATTTTTTCAGTTGCTTATAAACATATTAATGGCACAGGTGAAATTAAACTCTATTTAGCACAAACAGGTCTACCATAATGTGTGAGCAACATGTATGTACATGTTTGTATTTTTGAGAGAATATTGTTTATGCGTGGTTATTGAAAAAACTAAAAAATAAAGTTTTTGAAATAAGGACACAAAAAACATACTAAATATGAGTCCACAAGACTTTTGACTAATGTACGTTGTTGCCTAGAGTTTTTGCTTCAAAGTGATCTGAAAATCATTCTTCCTAATCATTCACATAAAACAATAGATTGTTTTAAATTGTGAAAAACCTTTTTTTGTTTGCCAAGGCAATATGCGGATGGGCGGAACGGCCCAACCCCTATCATGAATAATTAAGTGGTTCTCAGACAGTGACCCTGCATAATAATGAGCCTTTCATTCAGGGGTGTCACACAAGAAAGAATGTAAGGACAATATATATATATATTGTCATTGCATTCTTTCTTGTATATATATATATAGCCTACATGTGTATATATATATATATATATATATATATATATATATATATATATATATATATATATATTGTCATTGCATTCTTTCTTGTATATATATATAGCCTACATGTATATATATATATATATATATATATATATATATATATATATATACACACACACACACACACACACATATATATATATATATATATATATATATACAAACAATCAAAATATAAATGAAAGCCAGAAGCACATTTTTAGTCATACCTGGAAACAAATCCTGGTCAAATGCTATATGGGCCATTCTACAGAATTGGTTCAAAGTTACAGTTGGAAACATCTTGAAAAGAAAATAGTATTTTCCCATAAATGTCTTATAAAGTATTATTTTTTAAAGTAGACCAATACAATAAAAATAAACCAGTCGCATTTCAAAGTCGCTCGCGAAATGACCGCCAGGTGGCGCAAAGGGACATTTATCAAAACGTAAGTGGGGCTAATGTCAATTAACAGTAAGGATGAAATTCTACAAGTTATGGTAATTTACAAATAAGCCTACAACAAACATTTATTTTTAAACAAATATTTTTAAATATGCAACATGCACGTTTAAACAACAAACAATACAATCTGAACCAGCGCTTCCTGTATTGAGACATGCAGCGCGTTTCAGTTACGATCCTGGTTCCAGTGGCCTTAATACATTCACGGCTTTTTAAAATGTCACAAAGCGTTTTGAGATGGTTTTGAATGAAATATTGAAGTTTATAATTAGGGTATTTTGGCACACCACGCCGAGTGGCTATGCATTATTCTAAAATCTGGCTTTATTCTGGCATGTTGAATTAGAGTTTGACAAACGCGGCGGCGCGTTCATTTGGATTTATTTTTCTCATAACAGCTAAAAGAACTTACTGCGTAATTGTTGGTCATACAGATAAGATATCATCTTTTAAAACTGTAAAAGGTCTACTTTTATTCATGTAGGTAGGCTAAAGTAGGCCTACACTCACACAGGCTAACGACAAAACGTTTTCTCGCTCATGTGAGAAACAAACGTTTGGGCATTTCTCAGTGAGAAAATTCATAGCTGAGCGGTAGAACTGACGGTTCGATCATCAAGATGACACGGGTTCAAATCCCGATCAAACATGGTCTACTGCAAATTTTATATTTATTAATGCAGAGAGATTTGTCTAGCTCTAAAACTCTGTTACACCATACAGTTTTTTGGTTATATTTATAAAATAAAATTACCATGCATTTCCATTTTACACTAGGAACAATAGTATCGAACAGAACGACGTTGCATCTGTACCAATCGTACGAGGCTACCAATCGTAATTTTAAAAGCAGTTCTGTAACACAAGTAATTTTACATATATAGCCTATATACAGTATATATATATATATTTTTTATTAGGCCTATTATTATTATTATTTTGATTCCCTACAACCTAGAGTTTTTAAAAACATGGTTTTAAGTAAAGTGTGATTTGCCAGGAGGGACGGGGATTTCCTTCTGGTCTAAACATCCCTGCTTCTGCTGAATTATTTGAATCCCCACACTCCTCCCTCCACAGTAATCAATGCTATAGGCTACTTCACCAATAGACCATATCAAATATAAAATAGAGATATGCAACAAGCACGTTTAAACAACGACAAACAATAAAATCAAAACCAGCGTTTCAGTTGTTCATTAGTTCAAGTGGCCTTAATGCATGCACGGCTTTTCAAAATTTCACAAAGCGTTTTGAGATTATTTTGAATGAAATATTGAAGTTTATAATTAAGTGTTTTGGCAGACCACGCCGAGTGGCCCTATGCATTTTTCTAAAGTCGGGTTTTATTCGAACTTTTGCTAACGACAAAAACAGTTTATCTGTCGTCTCTGTCTCCGGGAACTGCGCGTCACAAAAATGAACCGAAAGCCACTTCAGCTCAGTTACTATAAGAAATCGGCTCTGTCTAAAGCCTTTAAATGTCTAAATATTCTGGCTAATAAATGTTATCTGATTATGTAATCCATATGAAAACGAGAGGTACAGAGGATGTACTCAAACATGTAGCCTGTAAGCGCTTCCCAATGAGAAAATGACAAGGGTGAAAATCTCGCTCTAATTAAATGTAGCAGGCTAAATCGCCCTGAATTAAAATGTAAAAACAGATCAAATAATGTATTTGTTGAAATGTTGCGATATTGTTTCATTTAAGTTCATAATTATTCAATACATGTTATTTAATTTAGCAGCATTACCACGAAGCACCGTGGTTTGATATTTATTTGAATAAAAAAAAAAATAAAAAAAAACTTAATTCACAAATTGCATGCCTGGTTGAAAGGATCCAAAGATCCATGTAGACTTTAATATTGAGTTGAACATTTTGTTCATGAAAACAAATTAACATGCGTTTTTTCAGATTATATTTAGTTTTGCTTGGAAAAAGCTGGCCCAAACCAGTTTTATTTAATCAATTACTGAAATAATTAAATATTTAGTAATAAACTTTTATGACAGAAATATCACTAGGCTACATGTAACTTAAATCATTTAATTCCTTCATTATCAACACTGTCTAGAATAGCGATTTAAGTGTGAATTGCGACTTCTCTTTGTGTTAAATCAGCCTCAGACTCCGATAGCCGGTGGGGGGTTGGAGGGACAGTTCAGTGCTGTATCAAGCGCGCAGGACAATAGGCATAGGTGTTAATGTTCCTCTTTCATATGGAGAGCGAGGGAGACTAAATAAACTTGTTAAAAAGAGATTCAGCGCGAGAGAGGCAAAGAAAAACGCATGTTTTAATTTAATTATGTTGCTTTGGACAATTTTCGTTTTGTAGGCCTACTGTTTTAATTGTTTAATATAGCTGTCATTTCTTTGGCAATACAAATTTAAAATGTCGCAAGAATAAGATTAGCCTAGTGTTTCTTATTTTGCATCGCAAAAGAAATAAACTCTAAACCCGATGCAACCCTGTTTTAAATTAAAAAAACTGTCCCGACACTTTATTTAAACCTTGAAATGTTCGAACTTGGTTTCAAACTTAAGTAATTTTAGTGTTCTTTTACATTACACAATAATTTAGCAGACTAAAGACGTGCTTCTTCATTTTCAGATGCAATCGGCTGACAATCTTCCTTCATCAGTTTATGTCCTTTGTGCAGCGCTGCGGTTCCAGGAATGTAGCAAATTTATGTTGTAATAATAATTAAACAAAACTCTTGACTTTAAATAAGTAAACAGTTATAAACAGTTAGCTATTTAAGCATCAAGAAGGTTAAATATAAACGCTGTAGGGCAACATCGGTTAACAACATGTATGCCACATTGAGATTCGATCTCGAGTCGATTGAAGCTCCTCGAAGCTCGTGTTGTTGCGTTAACCACTGAGCTATCGTCTGTACGTCTGTAAATGTTTTTATTGCAATGTTTTACTTTTTCATTATTTATTCAATTTCATTTCAGTAGCCTAATTTCAGTATTGTGATTATGAATTATTTTAACTACGTTTCACTTGTTGAATTCATCTGCTACCAGCTTTCAATCGCTCTGAATCAGTGCGGTGCGGCAGCAGATTACGCATTAGAGAGAATAAACAAACACTTTTCAGAGTCTATGATTGTAGCGCCTCTTGGCGGTAAAAGGCAGCAAATACACCCCACATTTTACCGCCGCGGTGGAACGGCTGATGTGGGCATTGTCATGGCTTGCCTCGACATTTGCGTTTGAATAGCGCGCGTCCTCCGTGGGCGTGTCAGATTAACGCGTAATGAAGTGTAATGAGCTGGGGAAAAAAAATCTGACAGCACTCTCTTTTCATACAGATTACATAAACTGAGAATATTTGTTTTTTATATAAATTACATCATTGAAAAGAAGAGAATTCAAGCTTCATAAAGAAAAATCTCTCGTGCCTGTATGACAAGTATTTGCAGAGTTAGAGTTAATTTTTCGGACGTGTTTCAGAATGGACTGCACTGACAGAGAGAAGGCAAAACTCGCATCATGTTTATTTTTCTTTATTTGACAAAAAGCACAAAACTTTGTTTTTATTGTGAGTATACAGAAAAATAATAGACAATTAACAGGATCGATTGATGTATAACACTTATATGTACGATCAAAATCAACAGAGTATTTTAAGTCTATTTTTCTGCTATGTGAAAAAAAAACGGCAAAACGCGCGGGCGCGTTTCTGGTCCCCAGAGGGTTAAAGGTCTTTAATATACAAGTGATTATAAGATGTATTATTGGGCATAATAATACTAATACATTATATATACAGACTTCAAGTAAACTGTTACCCATCTTTTTACACTTGAACCAAAGCTTACTTTTACAATATCAATTCCAGAGAAAGAGAAAAAAGAAACAAGCACGCCTGTGAAATTCATAACAGTGATAATAAAAAAACAAAACAATAATTGGTCCTTTTTGTTAAACACTCTCTAGTTTTTTAGAGAGCAGAGGAAGTACTGTCAAAAATCACGTCTCTTTGAAAAGTGCATGCTCATATTAATCACAAAAATGTCCGTATGAGCATTATGAGTCTTTATGAGTCGGAGTTGCAGTAATTGAGGAAAGCCATCATGCCTTGGGCCACAGAACCCGCCTCCACTGAGTCTAAGGCATCCATCCTACTGTGGTGCAGCCTGTAGTTGAGGTCGGTTCTTCTAGTACGGATATTGCTTTTGTTTCTTCCCTGCGAAACAAGCGAGCCAAGTGCACAGCAACATGGCGGAGGCGGCGCCCGCCCCGGTGCAGTAATATGCCCAGCCAATCTGACAAGAGCCTGAAGACAAGACCGAGACAAAGAGTGTGGGCATTAGTGAACTTCTGAAAGCTTCAAATGACAAAGAATGAAGGGATCATATGTGTGATAGATGATGTTTATTAAGAAATGGTATGTGACAAAGATTGTAGCTTATGGAAAAGTATAGTACAAAGTTGTAAAATTTGGCACAGTGATTCAGAGATTGTTACAGTAATATCCCTAAAGTCTCTCAAACCTTATAGCATTAACAGTTTTAAGTATAATATAATTTTGAGCCAGTTGCTCTAGACACAAAAATTTGCTCCTGTTTCCTTGGAACATGCAGAGTTCAGTGCACCACGCAATTTTAGTATCATGGATATACTATTAAAGTTTTTTTTGTGTGTGTTAATGTTTTGAATTATATTTTATTGTTCTATTTTCTGTAGCTCAAATTTTAGTGATTTAGTTTTGTGTTTTTGTAAGTTTTATTTATTTGTTTGTTTTATATGTCTATATGTTTTTTACAGCCCGTTCTCATCCCAAGGCGTCACCTAACTGACGCTTTTGACCATGCGTCAACATGCCGACGCACATGGTACCCCTTAAGCGTCAATATGAGACGCGCCTCCTAGTGGTCTAACCCTAACCCTACCCCAGACCTAAACCTACCCATAACGGAAGCGTCATCTAACTGACGCTAAAGGGTGCCATGTGCGTCGGATTTAGACGCATGGTCAAAAGCGTCAGTTAGATGACGCCCGAGGATGAGCGTCTCATATTGACGCTTAAAGGGTACCATGTGCGTCAGCATGTTGATGCATGGTCAAAAGCGTCAGTAAGGCCTCGTTTACACTGTCAGTGAAATGTGACCCAATTCCGATTTTTTACTCGTATGCGACACAGATCGGATGTGTTCTATGACAGTGTAAACAGGAAAAAACCGCATGCATTCGGATCTTTCGAGATCGGTTTCAGGCCTCGTTCATATGTGGAAATAAATCAGATATAAATCAGATATGTGCCAATGCGACTGTCGTGTAAACAGGCAGATCGGATTTTCTGAGGCATTAGGCTGCGTCTCCACGGTTTAATGACGAGAGAAACCCGACGCACATCTGCAAAGGGACGGATGGCCCGATGAAACGTCGTGTCCGCGTAGGAGAGGAATGTGGACACACGTTGACACAACATATCAAAGGTTGGCTTGCTCATCCTAAAATTTCGGACCCACTGCTCCTCGTTAAAGCCCGCCACGATCTCATGAAAGTGCGTTTATTGCACGATTTTTTTTCACGTGCCATTTACGCCAAAAAATAGTTTTTGTGTGCATGATACGCACTTTATGGCAAGCAAAAACGATTTTTGGCATATAAATGGCACTAGAAATAAAATTCGTGCAATAGATACTCACTTTCATGAGATCGTGTTGTAGGCTATGTTCCCACCAGTCCTCAGATCTCGCTGCGCGTTCGTCCATCTGTGCAAGAAGACCCCTTTAAACATGCGCGATGTTTCAGATCTATGTCAAGTGTAAACGCATGACTCGGATATGGGTCACAATTTAAAGAATGTGTAAACGGACGGTCAAAAAAATCGGATATAGGCAACAAATCAGAATTGGGCATCAAGACCTGCAGTGTAAACGAGGCCTTAGATGACGCCTTGGGATGAGAATGTGTTGGTTTTTTAATAAAGCCAATAATCATTTGCAAACAGCAGTCCATGACGTCACACATAGAGCGCTCATGAGTATAAAAGGCCCCCTGAGTTTCACGTCATCGGCTTGTTTTGTCTTCAGGAGCCGCTTGTTTGAATGCGCGTGTAAGATAAGAGCTGGTTGGATCGTTCGAGAAAGCTGAACATGAATTTTATGTTGCATTTGTGGTAAGAAGCTCTGTTCTTGCTTGATTTTCTCCCAAGGGATAAAAATCTAGCATTTGCACAGAGCGTGTTTGCCGTTGAAGGAACTCATGTCGATGCATTCTCAGTAAGGGGCTCTGTTATTGCTTGGTTCTCTCTAGAGAGATAAGAATCTAGTGTTTGCATGAAGCGCGTTCGGATCTCAAGGATGCTGAATGCATTTATTGTGAATGCATTCACTGTGGGAAGCTCCACCCAAGGCAAGGCAAGGCAAGGCAAGGCAAGGCAAGGCAAGGCAAGGCAAGGCAAGGCAAGGCTATTTATATAGCACATTTCATACACTATGGCAATTCAAAGTGCTTTACAGAAAGGAATTCAAATAATCACAAAAATAAAAGCAAGGAAAATTAAAACAGTTATAAAAGACATTAAAAGAGATATATGATACAGTTACAAAATGAATTAAAAGAGTAAAAAGATGATACATAGATAAACTTCTCATCTGGCAAAACACCGGTGTATCATATTCTTCACAACTCCCAGTTTTACTCTGAGATTTTCCCATGGTGATTACGCTGTGTCTGTGGTGTTCTTTTGGCGCGCCTAAGACATTTATTGGACGTCTCCGATGGACCTGATTTTCCCCTAAAATCGGACAAGAGGAGCTCTAGGACTGACTCACGGGGTAACCCATGCTTGACTCTCTCTTGAGGGATGAGAGTCGAGCGTCTGCACCTCGCGGGACCACCGAGGATGGTAAGGACCAATCATGGGGATTGTAGATGGAGCATAGGAAGGAGACTGACGGTAGTCTGTCCTTTGAGGCTTCTCCTGGTATGTTTTTTCATGTCGTTTCAGGAAGCTGCTCTGTGGCTGATTCCGACCTGACTGATTTAATATAACATGTCTAATTATGAGGAATTAGATGCAGAGAGAGTTGAGGCAGGTTCTATTAATAATCCGCCTCCTCCCCTGTAACTGAATGCGCTCACTGTGATGAGCCCTGGTGAGGGAGCTCCCCTCTCACTTGAGTTTTTTCTTGTAGGATGAAATTCAAGTGTTTGCTCCTCGCGGTTCAGGCCCCATGTCTGCTGAATCAGCACGTCAGCCTTGATTGTGGGGTCATAGGCGGGCAAAGTAGAGGTGGATGTTATCAAATAAATCTGTCTCCTCTGCTTACCACCATGGGGCTCATGACAAGGCATATGTGGAGGCAAGACAGGCCTTTGAAATCCAGGCCTGTGAAACACCATGAAATCCGCCAAATGGGACTTAGGATCCCCTGCGGCTTCCTTGGGGTTCAGAGCATAGGTGATGAGAGTTATTGGGCAAACTCCATTATGTCCTGGTCTCATTTGCCTCCCTTTCCTGAGTAAAGAGTAAAGGCCTGTTCACACCGGGACGAATTTCGCGTGCGATATTCGCCGACGTTTAACGCCTCGTGACTAAACAATGGGCGCCAATGTGAGTGTGCACACCGACGCGTAAAACGCCACGCGTAAAAGCGTAATTTTTTTTAAAACGCCTCGGGTTCGTTTTTTTGGTTTGACGCGCCGCGTCAAAAACGATCCGACCAATGAGATTGGCGCTTTTGTTCACGTGTCTGGAGCTTCTGAAGTTACAGTAAAACACAACTTGGGGGCGCTCAAACACAAAACGGTCTTGCCGAGCACACATACGTAATGGCGAAGAAGATATAGCAGCGTCTACACTCTGCCGGGAAGAAATAAGACGAGGAAGATGCAAGGCTAGATGAATGTAGAGCTGCTGGTCTTGTTGGTGTCTTTATAAAGAGACACCAACGACAATAAAGAACTATATGACAAACGCGACAAACTTGCTCTCTTCTTCTGAGTGACAAGCGAGTGTCAGAAGCGTAGTTGCGCAGCGCCACTTTGTGGACCGGGGTATTTCTGTTTTACATTAAGCGCCATCTAATGTCAGGGAATGAATTTGCATGTTCACTCGGCTCATCGTCAGCGAAAATCACTTGGGTGTGAACACAAAAAACGCGTTGAAAAACGCTGACGAATAACGCGCGCCGATATTGGTCCCGGTGTGTACGAGCCTTAAGGGTGTACGCTACCCCTTTGGATGAGTGGGAATACCGAAGGGAGGTGCTAATTACTGAAGTTTTTACCACCTTGCATGGTCACTTTAGTAGGCTGCTCAACTATAATGGGCAATTCACAAAAGTCCCCCTGTTTCCCTTACCTCCCTCCCCAACTGTTGTTGGGTATGGAAGAAGGGATATATGCTCCTCTTTGGTAAAGTGCTTATATAGGGATGATCAGTGTTACAAACCAATGAGTAGAGGTGGATAACTAATGGCATCCCCCCTTATCATTGTAGCAGTAGTTCTATAGTTTAACCATTAACTATAGTGAGTCCTGGAGAAGTGCCTTTACTCAAGTCAGGGTATGAGCTATTCTCCCCTAATCGCTCTAGGGTCATTCAAATTTAGTTGATCCTCCCCTGCAGTAGGCTGCTACCTAAGAGCATTGTCAAATACTGGTAAGGTATGCCTGACATAGCTGAGGCTATGTTGAGTATTTTCCTTTTAGAGCCCTGCTCTTGAGGCCATATTAGGCTGAGGCATGTCCCGCAAGGGAGAGAGGAAGGTGTAAGAGCCAGGAACTTCCCTTGCTGTTGAGCATAGTAGCTTTAGTGGGGATCTTTCCTAGTATATTGGCAAAAAGAATCAGTGCTACTATATGAGTCACATGGGCGCTGACAGGCTTTTGTCTCTGGCTGGGTAGTCTGTAAAGTCAATTTATGCTATGCCATCTATGTTTGTGCATATTCACAGTCTAGTGAGACAGGCATTCCCTCACCATGGCATAGTGGGTATTGGTTCCCCATAGTGCCAATACCAGATGCAGCAGCGAAGTTCCACTTTGAAAGGAAACGTCTTACACCGTGTCCTAACCAGATGTGATGTGATAAGATTTTAACATGTCTGGTGTGGACAGAAAAATTGCTTGTCACTGGAATTTTATCGCATCACATCTGGTTAGGACACGGTGTAAGACGTTTCCTTTCAAAGTGGAACTTCGCTGCTCTGGCTGGGTAATCTGTAGTCACGGGTAGGGTAGTCGCTGGGACAAAAGATGTGACAAAATCAATCAAAAACCACAGCCAATCAGAACAGACGGGTTACTAACACAATCTTTATCATATAATACTCTTGTTTGTTCACAGTTTAAACATTCTTATTTCCATTCGTTTAATTTCAAGATCTGAGGTGAATTATCCATTGTTGCTTTTCGTACGGCTACAAAGCTGGGAGCACTAAATGATATTCAAAGTCGCATTACATGCTTTTAACATTAAATAAAGCACATACCTGAGATTACCATTGCCATATTTTGTGTTGATGTTCCAGCCGCGATGTCGCAGAAAAATAGAAACCGTTTCTAAAATAGAATCGTCGTGTGTATCAGTCGCGGCTGGTTAGGACAAAACCTCTGATTAACATAAAAAGATACCTTTAATCGCGTATCGCAGTGTAGCGTCTGGTTAGGACACGGTGTTAGGTTGCAACCCGGTTCCCTGAGAAGGGGAACAGGATGCTGCATCTTATTGCAACACCTAGGGCCTGCATGCGCGTCTCCCCTCAGATAAAAGTTGATGATATATAACTCAGGCGATGATGTGTATATACTTTTATACTCGCCCTTTTATTTTATAAGCGCTCCGTGTGTGACGTCATGGACTGCTATCTGTCCAATCTATCTATCCAATGATAACTGACTTTTGTTTACATGTTCCTCAGACACTGGTCTTGTGATGGCATTCCCAATAGCATCAATACAAAACCCAGCGTCTTGTTCCCCTTCTCAGGGAACCGGGTTGCATACGCAACCTAAGACATTTTCGTTTTTCGTTTTAATTTACTTTTTGTCTAGTACAAAAATGTACATCTAGGGCCAAAATATAAAGTTTTTAGCATTCATGCCAAAGTAAAATGAATATAGCTTCTAAAATCAGTGAAGTGTTGAATATTTTATTAGTACAAATGAAGCTGCTAATTAAAGGCAGAAAAACAGTGGCATCATAATGATGATTAATTACATAAAATTGGAGAGTGCCATGCAGTTATTTGCATTTATATAAGTTCAAGGGCATTTACGCTAAACATAGCATCAGACCGATGGGAATACAACAGAGTACGGCTGCTTAGTGGATCACAAAATGAACAGAAAAGACCAGATTCTATAACTTAAAAGAAAGAAAGACAGAAAGCAAGACCCTGGGGCATTCATTAAGGACTGTTACAGGTTCCCTACAGGTACATCAAAGGACCAAAATATCTTGATATCTCATTTAAAGCAACACTCAAAGGGAGACAGACAAAACTTCTGGGCCACATTTGTTTGTTCCCCCATTGCGGCAAGTATTTCAAACAACTTTGACGCATTTGCCCTTAGCTTTCAAATCATGTGCAGCTTTTAAAATAGTAAAACTCCCCAGAGTGAGAGCAGACAACCTCAGGAAAGAAATATTCTCAATTCCTCCCAATTCTTTTGAGCCAGACCCACTTGATGTTACACTATAATGCAGCTTCTTACTTTGAAATCATGCAGCCCTTTTCACTCTTAATAGCTGTTGCAATTGCAACTCGATATTGTCTGTTTATTATGAAAAATATTCCTTCTGACAAACAGCCGAGGTCTGGGACTTTCCTAATGCAGACACAGTCTGTCATTTGTATTATAGTTCGGGCGCTGAATGCTAAACAAGCTCTCTACAAGTCTGAGTATTTGAATCAACGGTCATTTGCACTCTATCCTTTTCATGTTCCCAGTCTCAAGGTGACTCATAGTTTGTTGCAACATTTAGTCTTGTTTTCTAAAGCAAGAATTGCTCTAACTATCGCTCATACTTTGAACGTGAATGATGCCTCAAACTATACCGCTTGTTGAAGAGAGCTGTGCTGTTACTGTTTAAAGCAGTTAAATGCACAATTTTAATCTGATGGATGAAATCAGAAATCGGCAACACATTTTTGAGTGAACTATACCTTGTGAAAAAAGAATTGCACTTAATTAAATATTTAATTTGCACTTGTAGTGTAGGCCTACTTCAAATGTTTTATTATTTTAGTCACATTTTATTTAAATTTTAAGTATATATTAAAAAAAAAATCTTACAGATAATATAATATTAAATAAATAAAAGGCCACTTAAGCGTACTTTAAGAGAGTACACCATGACTGTTCCTTTTAAAAAGTGTACTTAAAAACTTTACTTTAAAATACATTTTAAAACTATGGCCTGGTTTCACAGAGAGGGCTTAGATTAAGCCAGGATTAGGCCTTAGTTCAATTAAGACATTTAAGTAGCTTTTATAAACGTGCCTTAGAAAAAAACATTACTGCTGTGCATCTTGAGATAAAACAATGGCACTGACATATTTTAAGATATCTCAGTGCAAGTTGTGTTCAGTTAAAACAGCTCAGACATGCATTGTACTCTAGGACTAGGCTTACGCCTTGTCTGTGAAACCAAGGGATTATGTTATAAAATAATATTTGTCATGCTTAAAAAAAGTAGGCCTACACTTATTTTAATGTGTTGAACATACTAAAGCACATGTAAAGTACTTGATTAATAATTTAAAGTATGCTTTAACCATGTTTCAAAGACAATAGAAGTAATTGTAAACCTACTTAAGTTGGCAAAAAAGAACTCTACATTTATATTAACTGCAATTAGCTGAACTTTAAACTAATACATTTCTATTTTATTGCAAATAGTATGCAGTTAACAACATTACATATAGTCTGCACTTTTAAAGTACAGTATATTATTTCCGTAATAAGTACTCTTTTTAATAGTATGCTAAAAGGTACCTCTTTTTTAAAAGGGATCTCTTTAAGCAAGGTCAATTGTTGGACATGTAGATGTATGATGTAATGTAGATGTTTGAAGATGTATATAAAGTTCAGAGTGAAGGTGACATGAGGACGTACCAAGTTCAAACTGATCTGAGCTGTTGTTACACGTCTGTCGGACCTCCTCACTGTCCCACCCGAGAGGATACAGAGCACAGCCTGAACCGATGAGCAGACCTGCAGAAACAGACACAACAAGACATGAATGACGTTACTCATGTCATGTATAATAGACTAAACACATGCACACAATCATTAGTGGCATTTGCTATAAGCATACAATTTGCTAAGGTTTTTCAAAGTACCAGCCCTAAGTATTAAACTTTAATCACACAGTTGTGATACCTCAAATCAAGTGACATGATGTGCTATTCATTTTCTAAGTGATGCAGACTTACAAAAAAATCCCATTGACTTAAAATAAGCAGCCACCTAGAACTAGCCCGAACACCTAAACAAGCAGTTAACTAATGTTTACTAGTGGGACCTTATTGTAGTGTCATTAAATATTCTAATAAATATTATAATTGTTATGGTGCAGAAGGGAAGAGGATGATATTTTTGCAGCAATTTATTGATGAATCCAAAACAAACAAAGAAAATCCAAACAGGGAAGACAAAATTCCAATCTAGAACAAACACTACAATTCAACAGGGACCGGAAACGCAACAGCTTTACAAAAACATGTAAAGAAATAAACTGACAAACAAAGATGTTAATGCACTCTGGGTAACAAGGGGCTTGACAAGGCACAGGTGATAGAAATAAGTCACTAAAGTAACAAATGAGGGTAAGTATGGGAACCATAGATATCCATAATAAAGGCTAGATGTCTCGTCCGCGCTGCTGGCCAATGGAGGTCGACGTCCGCACCTGGCGGCCATCTTGTCACAGGCAGCTCGCTCACTAGTAACATTGTGTTTTAATGGTGCATGTCCTTTTTAAATAACCATCACTTGCTCAATTTTCTCCCGATTTTCAAACGGTTTGGTTTGTTATAAACGTCAGAGATGTAGTTATGACACTGCATACTTATGAATAATAAGTGTATAAATAAATAATCATTCAGAATTATAGCCACGTTAATAACATTTGTAAGAAACCAAACCGTTTGTAAATCCGTCAAGATTTCAACGAGATAAGAGTATTTGTGTTCGTGCTGATCACTCATCTTACATCAGGTACCACAGAGCCCGCCAGAAAGCTTGCCTGTGACAAGATGGCCGCCGGTGATGACGATAGAGACTCCGCCGTAAGACATCTAGCCTTTATTATGGATATCTATGATGGGAACAAAGTGAAACAGGATCTAAAAACAAGAAGTGAACACTGGAAACAATGGACACTTCAAAATAAAAGTCCAAAATAAACCCAAGGGCTGGGCTTGCTTGTTTTTTAATGACAATATTTTTTGTCATTTTTTGTCAAACGATATTTTTTAGCAAATTTAAAGGCCCTTTCACAACAAAAGTGAGCTGAATAACCCTCAGGCTGAAGGAAATGCAAAGTCACTCCTGTCCAGTAGACGGCGCCGCTCAAGCAAACCTTTCAGCTGTGCTTTCATTCTGGATTACAGAAGAATAGGACACAGAAAGTGCAACACTCTTACTTCAGCAATAAAAACAAAAACATGAAAAACAAATCATAATGTTTATCTAAAGTAATTTTTGCTTATTTGTATGGTTGAACTGGATCATCAAAGTTCTGCAGCAAAGATACTAAAACTACAATAATCATCATGTTCACACACAGCGCACACAACACCTCTCCGCACTTACTCCCGATTTCTCTCAACACGAGGACAGGAGAGCTGTCAGTGGATAAAAGGGAAAACAAAGTAACTTCCCAGCAAGCAATAGCCGTCATTTCACCGTCTAGGTTAACTATAGACCTGATGTAGTCCGGCTATGAGTAACCCACTTCTAGACAAAATAACCTTAAATTTGGTTATATGTCGTTTTTGCCAAAATAACTTGTGAGATGTATGATATTCCATCATGCAAGCAAAGTAAACAATGATTACAAGGTTTTTGGTTTCATTTCTTCACTCATTTCATTTCTTTGTTATCTAATTGATGACTAGTCTATTCTTGGGTGATGGTTTAGACGTCTATTAAATTTTCACTGCGACAGCCCAAATTCTGCCTTGTTTTAGCCTAGACGTCAGGGCTGTGTTCGAACGGCTATTAGACGTCTTTTAAACGCAAAATTGCTTGCTCTAGTAGTAACTCAGATTTTTTGTTGTAAATTTAAAAGTAATGCATTACATTACTAGTTGCTTAAAAAGTAATCTGATTACATTACTCGCATTACATTATCCGTTACACTAACACTGATGCATCGCTACTAAAACGGTCTTCTATCTACCAGTTTTGCAATAAAATAAAATACAATATACAAATACCATAAAATAAAATAAAATAACAAAAGTAAATGAACAGAACACATGTAACAAATTAGCCTCAATATTTGACCTATCAGCACAGATAAAACGGTGGCATTTACCTCTGGCATTTGTTGAAATCTGTAAAGTCCATTCTTTTGAGACTACAACAAGAACTAAATCTGTTCAGATTTTAAAATAAGTGTAGTGTATTCCAGCCTTTAGTGACAAAATAAATAAATAAATCATCCTACAAGTATCACACCAAAAATGGACTGGGATCAGTTGAATCCCTGCTGAAACTAGCGGGCCAAGGCCTGGTCCCCAGTGCCACAGGAAGATAGCGCCACTTCTCCGAAATTTCATGAGCCGGGGTCTTGACACAGAGTCCCCCTGGATCCAGGAGCTCTGTCTCTGGATAGATACCGGCCCGCAGGTCTTTTGCTAAGGGGCTTTTCTATCACATTAGCTTAATCCTTTTCAATTCGCCCCTCACATGCCTATCAGTTTTAGTGGGGCAGGAGAGAGAGAGAGAGAGAGAGAGAGAGAGAGAGAGAGAGAGAGAGAGAGAGAGAGAGAGAGAGAGAGAGAGAGAGAGAGAGAGAGAGAGAGAGAGAGAGCACATTGAGGCGTGATGATTAACCCCCGTCACACCGCACACACTTATGCGGTGGGCTGAGATAACAGACAGTAATTCATCTATACACTGCTGTACACAGTTTGAGCGAGGTGAGAGATGTCCTTACACACACACACACAAACACAAGCACACCGATAATCAAATTCTCTGTGCTGCTCATTTTTAATATGTGTTCAGACGTTGAGATATTAATCAGGACTTGAGAGAGGAAGTCATAAAAGCCGACCGGAATGTATATTAAGATATCATCACAATGTGCTTTGACATTTGGAGGGGCAAATTATTAATGTCTCATTGATGCCCGTGTTTTTTAAAGGCAGGCTCTAAATGAAACTATTTCTCACCCTCAAAAATGCATAACTGTATAGTTGCAAGATAAAGATGACAGCTTCTCATACTCTTGATTTAATCTCAAAGCAGTTTTATATGGCTCGCAATGCCTTTGTAGATGTAGTAGACCTTCTGATGCACAATATTTTTGACTAAAAAATATAGCTCATACTTTTGATGAATGATACATCAAATCACGCAACTTGAGAAGAACGATAAAAATGGCAATACAAAATATATAGGGATCAAAAGCCAGTGTTATTTTAGGATAATTGACAAACTATTATAGTTTCAACTTTTCATATTTTATATGAATGTTTATTTTATTTGATTTATTTTACATGTTTATTTTATTTTATATGTCTGTATATTTTTTTTAATAATTTTACTTTTCATTTTATTTTTAGTTGTTAGTCATTTTAGTACCAGTTAAACTAAATGAAAATGAGAAGTGTTGACTTGGATGAATGTTTTTTTTAATGCTTTATTTTTATTTTTAACAAAATGTTTTTGATATTTGCACCTGGTCACATTATGAACGCTCTTCTGTCTCAAATCTGTGTCGAACAGATACAGTTGCTTCACATTATATTTATATGAATACATATACAAAACTTGTTTTATTTTTATTTTTTTATGTTGTATTTCAATGACCAAAAAGCTTTGGTAATATGCAAGCTTACAAACAACTATAGTGAAACAGAAGATTTAATAGTCTTTTCTTCACTATTGTGACATAAATATGAGTGAAACTGTCACAATCAAACGGCTTCTCGAACAAGAACAAATGTAGGGCGGGACTTGATTTTGTCCGTTGAGAACTGATTGGATGGTTGTGGTTTGCTATTGGTGGATCTCATGTGAGTGACAGGTAAACACATCATCAGAGAAGAGAAGAGATAAGCTGCAAGAGCTTTGGGAAGTTATTTTGATTAAAGATTATGAAAAAAAAAAACGAATGATGTGCACAGATAAATAATTTATAATAAATACTGCAATATTCCATTAAAAAATAAGTAGTGCCTTTGATTTCACGGTAAGTTTAAGAACAAATTATAGAACCAAACTATAAACTAACTAGTAGCGAACATAGGTATGATTCCAGGGAATGCAGGAACTAATAAAATGTATACCTTGAATTGAATTTAAGTTTTTTTTATTATGATAAAAATGTTCTGCCAAATATGTAACAGTAACCCTGTTCTCAAGAACACTGAAACTTGGACATGTGTATGTGCCACATAACCACTCAGTCCGCATTAGTAAGTTTGACATCGGAAAGCACCACTTAAATTTCAGTGCATGAAAAAATCAATCTCCTTTAATAAGTGTTCATCATGCAAAATCATCCAAAAGAAAGTCAAGCTTGTAGATTTTACATTTAGTGCCTCTAAAACTTTTAGCACAGCTAAAATCTCTATTTTAAAAGTTTGCATTATATAATCTTCGCAGCAGCAGAGGCACCAATGTGTTTGCCAGCAGCCCATGTTGTGACGCTAATGTATTCCTGCTGAATATTAAACAAAATCATAAATTCTCTTTCAAGTCGTCAGTAATGTCAAGAGATAAAGAGGCGTGTAATCAGCTTGAAATGCCCCGCAGCACTCAAAAGTAAAAACAAAAGGGGTACAGCCTCCACCGTCCTAAAAAATTAAATGAATGCAGCATAAGGGATTTTTAGGTCTTCATTAATCATAAAGTGGGTGTTGTCCTCATTTTAACACTGAGAGACATATATAACACTACAGCTAATTAGCATAGTCATAAAATGGTGTTTCTGTTATCCATCCTTCATTTTATTTTTAAAAATGTATTTGAGGTTA